AAAACGTTCAAAAGATTTCTCAATCCCGCCTTGCGACTACCACTAGATTGGACACTTCGAGGCATGTGTGGGTGGCTTTCATCTCGGCTTTCGTGGATATTAATTTGGGGTTCGGGAATCCATTCTTTTTGTTCGGGGTTCCATCTGTGGCTTTTGGGATGTTAGTTTTGTACTTTGGGTATATTGAGGATGGGATGAAAGGAAAAAAAAACTTACCCCTCATGTAAAGTCTTGGTTAGAGCTCTCGGACTATACTCATCCGTAAGTACCCTATCAAAACTATATGGTACAAGAGCTGGCACGCCCTCAAACTCGGTCTCTCTTAATGGATAGATATCTCTCGTTCTGTAACGATGATAATTCTTACAGCTCCAGATTCCAGGCTGTGTACTAGGGTTTACTTCTGCAAGTCCAGTGATATCAATGAACAATCCATTCCTCACATCAATCCATCTCGCATCAATAACATTCATGCCATCACCCCTCACTCTCTCCACATGATTAGGATTGATATCCAACAAATATTCTCTCGTAACAGTCGTCCCATCATCCGCTCTCTCTGTATAATTATGCATCGTCATGTTCATATTCTTTCCCAACCAAGCCAACGTAGCAGCCGAAACCTGCGTGTCCAAATCCCAATCCCATGGCATAATTTTGCCATTCCACCACCAACCTAGTAACGTCCCATGCGCAATCCATGTCTCGATGTTTCTCTCGCGGAAAGTGGTAAGATAGGATCTAATTAGATATTGAAGAGAATCTTGCTTCTCTTCATAGGTGACTGGGTTTCCTTGGAAATACCGTATGTCGTAATGTCCTAATATATCGTTTCCACCTGGCTCGTGGAAGTACTTTGTGTCGTGGTGTTCGGTCTTGACTTTAGGTGGGAAAGCGGGTTCTCTCTCTTCGACCGCTGCGGATGGCTCTTCGTTTGGTCGTGAGGAAGCGTGTGTAAATGAGTTAAGGAGAATAGATGTTGTGACGAAGGCGCCGAGAAAAGTTGGAGGGCGCATTGTGGTATTTTCGAGTGAATTTTTGGTCTTCGCCTGTGTCTTTCCCTTCTCCCTTCAATTCTTCACAAAACTCGCGAATATGAAAAAAATAAAGTAAACAAGCTTTCCAGAAAACAATCGCGCGCTTTCCAATTAACCCAATTCCCCAAATTATTCAAGCAGAAAAGGTTTCAATGGCTGAATCAAATATACCTTGCTGGATACCAGCGGGAAAGTGCTTGATATAATAAGCCAGGAGTATGCTCGTGTGCCTCACTTCCGAGATCGAATAATGCCAAGAGAAGATCCAAGCAGCCAAGAAACAACTCAAATGAAATCGAACACGAGGCGAAGTACGAGGTAAACCTTTTGGAGGTGAGCGCTGTAAGAATCGATAGGAGCTTGGTATTGTGTCAAAGTTGTATGCATGCAGCAATGCAAGATGATGAAATTGTTGCGGCGCAAGTACTCGTTCGGTCGTTGGAGGTTGGGGATACCAATTTCAGTGAGAGTGGCGAGAGAGTGAGAGAGAGGAAGCGATAGAGGGCAACGAAAAGGACGAGAACAAATCAAGAAACCAAATACGTAGAATCAGAAAAGTATGAGTGGGGAAGAAAGGAGTTTTGTGGACATTTCACTCTGATCATGATCTAGAAAAGGAAAGGAGTGGTGGTATCTGATCTATTAAACAACGAATTTTCGGACTTTATCCCATTTCTTTCCTTCCAGTTCTCGTTGATAGCGAGAAGATTTATTACATATTATGAATCCCGGTCATGGATTGATTAGATGGGTTGGGATGCAAGCAATATGAAATGTCATGTAGCCGCGGTAGCGTTAGAGAATTCATTGGATTATGTTAGTATGTTCAGCCAATCGGTGGTTAGTTTCTACGCGGCAAGTGATCGAAGTGAAGCAAGTGCAATTAGGATATTTCAGATGGATTACGTAGACAAGCTTTTTTAAGTACTTAAGCTGTTTGATACACGAGGGCTTATTTTAAATAGATGGAAATCTTTTCAATGCGGATTAGATGATTAGATTTGATGCCATTCTGACTAGTTCATGGTGATTGTTTCTACGAAGTATTACCTAGATCAATAGATGTTCCTCGTCCAAATATTCATGTCCATACTTATCTGCCTACTAGGTAGATATGGATTGTATTGATAGAGATGAGGATATAGAACTCTAAGCCTTGTAAAGCTCTTGACAAGGTTCAGCCCGAGTAACCGATAACTTGTTCCATGACCAGGCCAATGCCATGTTTTCTTGTCAGCCCAGGGCTTGGCTAGCTGTCGGCGCTAATACCATATACGTGTTAATCCTTCTCTGCTTTAGCTGTTAGCTAATAGCCCATTTAGATCATAAGCCACATATAACATCAAAACCATCTCAACTAACAGTCCTTTCTTTCTCTACATTCCTCTCTCTCTCCCTCTCTCTCTCCCTCTCTCTCTCCCTCTCTCTCTCCCTCTCTCTCTCCCTCTCTCTCTCCCTCTCTCTCTCCCTCTCTCTCTCCCTCTCTCTCTCCCTCTCTCTCTCCCTCTCTCTCTCATTTTCATAGACAACATCTCCAAACACAAAAGTTTCATCATGCGATGGCTGACTTGACCAAAGTTCGTCACTTATTCAGGGGGTCACGGAAACACAGACCCATTAATTACCTAGATAGCCTAGATAGATAAAAAGAGAGATGTAACTCGCTAATAAGGGAAAGGAACATGGAGTCAACAAATCATAAATAATATTTCGTACGCGTCATCTCTATACCAATTCGGATAATAAGGACGTTGCACGACAGATGAATTGGATGGATAAACGCTCCCTTGTGTATTTTGGCTGCAAGATTGTACTACGGGAAAAGCTAGGATGCAAATTGATTTGAGTACGACTTGTTGAAACGTTAGAGGCCACGACGTGAAAAGTTTTTTTTTGCTTTTTATATTCAGCCAATGTGGGAGTTTCAAGTAGATTCGTGAATGTAAGATCTTACATGGAAACGGGAAAGCTAAAGCCGATGTTCAAGGAGCATCTAAGTCAATTAATTATCTTCGACCCATCAAAAAGGTACACCTGTACATCATATTACATTTTAACCCCATTTGAGCCTCACGAGTCAAGACTTAAGACTCGACAGTCCACCTCAATGCCACCACTAAATATGCCAAGCATCTACCACCAGTTAACGTTAAAAGTCTAATCATTTCTTAAATATAAAAAACTACGTTAGATTCGTGGTCGCATACGTACTCTACGTACTCAGTCGTATGCTCAGTCGTGTGCTCAGTCGTGTGCTCAGTCGTGTGCTCAGTCGTGTGCTCAGTCGTGTGCTCAGTCGTGTGCTCAATTACTCTGTCTAGCCGGCCCTGTGTCAGATTTCAATAATTTTCATGATTTGGGGTAATAGATCGGCAGCCTTCCAAGGGTTGTCGTTCGGGGCTGATTGACCAACTTGATTGATTGATGTGCTGTAGAGTGATAATTAACGCTGTCGATCTGAATGCATGTATGTAAGTGATTTCCGAGTTGGCAAATTGACAATTGTGAAGGTTGGAAAATTGACGAGGATGATATTGGAGGGGAGACTAATTGGTATCTCTACCTAGGTACTTTCTCGATCAATATCTACAGAATGTGTGTATCCTTCCACATCTAATCCGTACTGTCATACCTAGCTATCGCCTTAGAAACACTACCTCCTCCAAACACACACGGCTCAAACCCCATCTTTCCCGCCTTCAGAATTCCCATTATCTCCATCTATATGGATAACTCGGACTCATACCAACCAAGAAAGTCTTGTCTTCCGTTATCCGTTACATGGCCAACTAACTATGCTTATCATCCAAATGACCAAATGATAAGCTCACGGAAGAATCCTTCCATCCAGCTTCTGGGCCCCAAGACTCCAAGCTGACCACTAACTACTCCATACTCGGTATCCCATTCATCAAAATCACGGAAACCACTGCTAGTATCCTTACCCCACCTTGTCTGGTCTCCTTGGTATATGGCATGTAGTCTCGAGGTAGTGAAATAGCGGTAACAGTACCTGCTGAACGTAGCACGTAGGTTACGTACTCTGTGCGGAAATATCACGAGGCTTCGGGCTAAACCATCCACACATGATATATTGTGGCTTGAAAATAAGCCGAGTTGTATTCGCCGGTCTGTATTACCTAGATAGGTATGTACGTCGCAACATGTACTGTGTGTATATATACAGCATGATGTGATATCCGGGAACACAAACAAACCGTATTGTATTGTAACCTAATACCCAATTAGGAATGCTTCGCGATGATCTTCGTATTATGTAATCCAAAATCTTTGAATCACCAATGTTTCTTCAACCCCCAAAATTAAAAATACACTACACTACAATAGATGAAAAATACGCTTTGAAAGTTAATCGCAATTCTTCATGGTTTATGAGTTGATTCTATAATAGAATCAATTGAACTGGGATCATGATACAGATGAGTCGGATCGGATCGAATTCGAAACGTATTCCGGGGTGTGGGTTTCCGTCTGAAGGTTTGAAACGTGATTGCGCCGCTGCGCCGCTGGAGTCGCGGGGATTTGGTTGCGAGGGGAGAAGGAGGGAGGAGAAAGGAGGGTTCTAGGCCTAGGGCTTAAGCTTTGGAGGAGAGTTGGTCTGGCGATGTTGTCTCATCGATTCACGGCTATTGCCATTAGTGCCGGCTGGAGATGTTCCTCTTCTTGCTGTTGTTTCTCTCGTGGTTCTAGGCCCTAAAGTAACGTTTCGTTTTGAAATTTGAATTGTTTTCGGCATTTCTGTCTTGATTTTTGGGCATTTCTCATGCCACACTTTTAATCTGGTTATAGTCGTACATTCCATTTGTATTTCGCTGTTCTTGTCTATTGTGTCTTCCGTTATGCGTTCCTACATAGGATAAAGACTGTTGCTGATACAAGAATCACTGTGGCTCGATTGAAAGCGAGCAAACAATAGACTAGTTTTACGTCTAAATTGCAAGCTCACTCATGCGAAGAGGTTGAAAACTGGCGAGATTCAAGGATAGAAGGTGCATTCCAAATATCCTTTCCAGTAAGAACGAGATCTTCATTCGGAGTGACTGTGTTATCTGTAGAAGACACAAAAGCTGTTACAAAGTTATGAGTACCTCTTTGTGAACGGTGGAAAGGGGCTCCAGGAGGTGCCTTCCGTCTAAGCTTGCTAACTTTGTAAGAAATCTTGCCCTTTATTTTAAATGGTTCTGCATTATGATCGCTAATAGCTCTCCTGATATTAGAGCGGAAGTATTGCAACCAATTTTCTGCCCGGGTGACTTCTCTGCCAAAAAGATGGCTGAAGAGGTCCTGATATTTGCTCATCGAATGTTCCATACATTGCATATACTCAGGCAAGGCTCGATTCTCAAAGCAAAAGAACGAACCAAGAAGGTTGATTGGATTACCAAACAGTATCCTCGATGCTCTTGCGGTAGTGATGGTACTCGCCGAATTGAGCATAGAAAGACAAGCTGATGATAGACTCAAAGCTGGATTGAACCCAGAGTTTTGTGTCATCTCACTCATCTCTTCCCACACCTCGCCGCAAACAAGAAATTCACCAACTTTCCGATGCATATATCTCACAGCCGAACCGTCATTATCATCGCCAGAGGCCCAATCCAAAGCAGCGTTTGTGGGACCACAATCTCTCCCAATTTCGAGAAGACCACAACATCGGCTTTGAATTCGTGCTTCTGTACAGTTGTACAGCCATGTGTAGTTATCCAAATTTAGAGGGGCGACTGGACGGGTGAATGCCTCGTTCAAGGGCTGCATAGCAAATGCAAAAGTGACCACGCCGAGTGGCTGATGCGAGGTGTATGTATTCCAGACATGAAAAATCTGCAGTATTTCAGATGCTTGTACCTGATACTCCGGAAGAGTTCTGGACAACATTCTTCGATACAGGTTTTTCAGGTCCCTAAGAAGTGATTGAAGCTTTGCTTGCAAGTCCATAATTGAATCGCCAGCTTCAAGACCATCTATGAGAAGTCGTACAACTAAGCGAACCCAGAGAAAGACGCCTTCAGCCTTCAATTTGATCTCCGAAACCAGACTTCCTGCTCCTTGTGGATCGAACTTTGACATTTGCCACATAGCTTGGTGGTCCACCAGATTCCCCCTGATGTACTGATCCATATCGTGTCTTGTGAGATCTTGCAATCTCAAGGTTGGACAGCCCCGAAAGGTGTTGACACTTGGATTGATGGACCGGCTGGACACCACGACCTTGACATTCGTTCCAGTAAGCGAATGAATAAATTGCGCCAACTCCTTATGATCGCCGGCCAGCTCGTCTAGACCGTCAATGAATATGCATATCTTGAGAAATTTTGAAGCTTTCTCTACAAAGAGTTGTAGTGCTCTTTTCATCTCCACAAAGGTCGGTTCATCATTCACATAAGAATCCTTCCAGTTGCTGTATATATCTGGAAGCGTTGACGGGATGAGCTCGGGGTGCTTGGAGAGTGCCTCGTGAAGGATAGCTCGGAGCATTCCAGTCCGACTCTTCTGTAATGGTGTGCCCAAATTCCAGAAGAAAAAGTGAAGCGCAAGGAGCTGGTTCTGCGGCGCCCAGAGGGCCAACTTGTTATACGTTTGCTCATTGTCGACAATAAACCTGAGAAGGGTTGATTTCCCGCTTCAAGCCTTTCCGTTGATGAAATAAGGTGCATCAATGCCCTCTCCGCTCAAGTAGTTACCAAAGTCATCCCATGAATCGGTCGGACCTGGCGGTCTGAAGATCCATTGAAACGTCTCTTGATAAGCGGCGCATATCTCTTCGTATCTCCAAGCCATTTGACGAAAGTTCAACCATTTCAGTATTGTCTGGTTTTGCGGTGTAGATCGATGCAGCGAGCTGAGTTTACCCAGGCAATCCTGTAGCTTTTGCTGTATTACTAGATTTGAGGCTGAATGTGACTGCATAGCCATCAGTGTATCTTTGATCTGCTCGTTTTGTCTAATGCTTTCAGCGCTATTTTTGTCGCTTGACTTCTGCAATTCCTTCATGTGGGATACGATATCATCGTTGCGATCGTCGACATTGGATTGAAAAGCGAGTATTGCTGCAAGTGTCAAGGCACTCTGGAAGCTCTCAAGCTTCTCGACAAAAGCAACAATTGCTTCGTGTCGCCATCGAATTCTGATAGTGTCTTTCAGAATGTGTAGGAAATTTCTTGCCGTTCGAGAAGTCGAAAATGTGGACAAATAAACTGCGAACTCGTGTCCAGCTTGTTCGCAGTCTGCTGCCAAATCGACAAGATGCTACAGTCCTGGAGTCAGCGAATGACTGAAAAGTTTTTGAGGCTCTAACCCGATTCTCTTAAATGAGAGGTCTTATGTAGCTGCTAGCTTGAAGACGAGATCTGATAATCCTCGCGTGCTTCGTAGAGCTTAATGCGAAACGCTGGAGATCAGCAATGGATGATGATTCTCCATTCTTCTCGATTGCACGAGCTTCGGATATTATCTTGCTAGAAAAATCTACAAATTGCATAACGTTGCCCGCAAGGCTGAGAGCAGCGAGTGCCTCCATTCTCTCCAGCGATGGTGCTTGGCTGTGAATCCTTCGTATACTTGATATGGAGTGTTCCGTAGAGTGATGTGGAGAGTCGGTTCTCTAGTTTTATAGTTGAATTGAAGTACTAGGCGTCTTTGCGTATGAGAAGCACGAGTGATCAGTGGGAAAAGCAGTTGAGCTCAACAAGGCTATGTCAGAACAAGAGGCAATTGCGGAGTGCGAGGGATATTATGTGTCCAGATATCGACAGAAGGCTATACTGGCATTCTCTCTCGTGTTACAACGCGTGGCGCTTTTTGTGCCACCAACCTTATCCTACTAGAATTTTGATACTTGTGAAAGAAGGCGGAGATCAATAGCCTACAATCCTGTGAATCTAAAAATTGAAGGTTTGAGCCTCGGAATAAATGAAGTCGTTTCGATGTGCAGTTTTCTTTTATATTACATATTTCAAGTGTAATTCAGCCTCATATCATTTCCCATAAATTTGATAGCCCTGGCTGTTCTCAATCCCCTCTAACCACAAATATCATTCGTTCCGTTCCACTCATCCATAAAGTTCATTCATCTTAATTTTTCTCATAGGATCACTCCCCATGCCCGCAAAATTTGGCTCCCCATTCGATCCATCCACCTTATGCCCCCAGAACATTGGAGAATCTCCTTGCCATTCGTCTACCAAGTCAGCTATTGTTTGAAGGTGTCCGTATGTTGCTGGTAGTGGGCCACATGGTCGTCGAAGACTGATGTAGGTTGCAAAAGCGCAAGTAGCAAGGCACAGACGGTGCAATAGAATATTTGTATGGTAAACATCATTAGTCCAGGTGACATGTAACTGTTGACGCTCAAACCGAACATCCAATGAATGAAGGCCTTGAACAAAAACAATATCATCGTCTCCCAACTCTTCAATGCCGCTGATATGCTGCTATAGTGTGGGTTAGTACCTCTTGAAGATGTTGCCTGGCGGAGAATTCTCTCATCGCGAGATAGATTACAAAGGAGTTCTGCACAGTGAAGCCCGATAGTAAGTGGAGCTTGAAGAGCTGATACGATTAAGATGGTCAGAAGGCACACTGGGTAATTAGGGCCATCAGTCCAAGCAGTATATATTCCACACATTTCATAACTCGGCAGGAGGTTCCAGGGGCATTTATCCAAATAGCTAGGGATACTCAAATGGAGTACGACTCCGAACCAACACAACCCGAGTGGTACAATTGCCCATATGAATCCCAATGCCCATTTCACGTCACTATGGACAGTCAACATAGATCCTTGTTTTTTCTTTGGGATGCAAGGGTCCGAAATTGTGTGACGATCATGGACAGATTTCATGCACCGCTTTTGGTTCCTATACAAAGGGTGTGTGGTTGATGCTTCGAGGCAGGTAAAAGTCGCATCGAGTGGGCTGGAACTCCAGGTCGGTATTTTGGTCATGATGAACGACCAAGTGGCGAGTCCTGCTTGGACAAGAATGCTTGATCCGAGTATCAAAAGAGATACAATACTCATCGTGCTATCTTCGTCCATTGCGTTGAAGTAGGACGATATTGATGTATAAGATAGGATGACACAAAGTAAGAAGGTGGCGTTAGAGTACCACTAAGCAAGGATTAACACTACCCTTTGGCATACGTCTGTAGAGAAGTAGTAAATTCAGGCTCGAGATACAATCATCACCATGAAAATTATGATTCAGAACTTACCGAATTGGACTTGGAAAATTTTGAGCTTGAAAAGAGGCGAAGGTTAGAGTTGAAACCGTGTCGTCCTTCCCGTTGCAAACACCACCTGAGCGATGTACTATGAACATAACCCATGCTTTCATTGAGAAGCGTTACTATCATATTAACAATGAGAGGAACAATCTCGCCGACCATTCCACTGAGGTCATATCCTGGATCGCCAGAACGTCCGCGATTAGGATAAAAATATACACCAACTGCGAAGGTCACGGAGCCAAATATCCAACTAATAATCAAGCCAACAATACAAATTCGGCGTGTTTTATTCGCCCGCAAACGATCACCCAGCTGCTCGTGGCGAGCCTGCAGTGTCGTGCCAAGTAATGCCATGGAGGAACGCTCAAACTATTCTCTCGAAAGTTCTTCAATAAGTTTAAGGATGTGTGATGAGTGTAGAGAGAAAAGCAACAAAGAAAGATCACGGTGGAAAGACAACTTAATGACTTCATCCACACTCGCTGTACCAGACTACCCGACTTCGGATACTCATAAACACCATGCCGAAGCATAAGAAGAATTTACTGCCCATAGATTCTAGACTCGGGATAGACTTCCCTCATTAGGTGTTGAACTGCAAGTTTCCGCATTGGTGTAGCATTTTGCCATGAATCAGCCTTACCTTGCTTCATGGCATGTCGTTCTTGCTCGTACAGCTATAGCGTAACCACAGTCCACAACGAGTTAAACGATCAAGTACGCCCATTACCCCCTTCTCCGCATATTCAAAGCAAAATGTGTCAAGCAATGCAGTACGCTGTGTAAGTAAGAGACGTTATACTCTATGATTCTCTATAGTTACATAAGAAAATGAGCTTAGTTGCCCATTCACATTGGTAACCATACTCCCCACACTTGATCCCTCGAACGCGAATCAAGTGTTCAATAGTTATTATTCAACGATGCTCTTAACAGCCCCTTTTCGCCTATTCCTGCCAATCTTCAACATGATATACTGCTTCGCCACTGTTAATTTCATCTCCAAGAGGTCTTGGGAAATGCAATCATACTAATCTTTCGATACGGTAAAGTGACATAAGGCTCCGACAAGCGCCAGATATACTCTATGAGTTTATCTTCTTCAAAAATACGGATATAAGGTCCTTGAAACTGATTCATAACAGGTATAGTGATAACCTCAACCCTTTCTCTTTCCCTTCCCCAAAGAAATAGCACAGAAAAGATGGTAGTACCTATTCAAAGGTGATTTCGTTCATATCACGCCCGGCGCGTAGGATGCAGACACCCAAATGAACATCAGACCAGGGTTTCCAACAGTTCCGGATAGCAGACCGCCAATAGCAATATCTCAATTTTCGAGTTCATTCCGAATGTTGAAAATACTCAAAATAATGAGTCTGCCTGACAAAATGAGTTCATCTGTTGATCTCAGAATACAGATAAAGAATGTCGGTTTCTGCAATTCTGTAACAGGTCACGCCAGTGCGTAGCTCGTATTCTTCTAGCAACTTTTTGAATCTCCTTTTGAACGTGGCAGTCGTTAGATTTGTCCATCTGATTTTCGGCATATCCCACCTTAAGCCTTTTGCTTCGTCTTCTGATTGAAGATCGAAGAGAAGTTCCTTATCGAGGTCTAATTTATTTCGTAAAGAATGCTCAGGAATCAATACTCCATAAAGATCACTGCGTTTAGTTACAGGCGAACTCAACATGCGCAGAGATTCACCGATGTCCACTGGGTCGAAGAATACTAGCTCACTTTCCCTCTGAGACTCGGCTACGCCATTCTCGTGATCGTCACTTCGATAGTCTTCAATCACAATCGTTAAACTTTTCACATTGCAGAACGTACATAATAGTCTAGCAAGCTTGGAAGTGTTGGCTATCTTATCGTTTTGATGAAATGCGGACCCTTTTAACATGGGCTCATGTTGAAAAGCAATATGACGAATTTTACATGCCTCGTATGATGTCATAGGTTCACGACATTGCCAGCCGCACACACATACTATTTGTTCCCCAAGAAGTAATAATATGTCTCTTTGGTAATCGAAGTAGGTCTCAGCAAAAGCTCCAACAGACGGAAACGCTCGGTTATATTTTATGATGGCGAAGTTGTATGATTCCCTGCAAACAAGCAACAAGTTTGGAATTTGTGCATTTGACGAGAAACCACATTGACCATCATGCTTGATGCGTGCCCGAACTTCTTCCAAATCTTTGATATCTTGCGGTAGTATGTCATCCATACCGGTACAAAGAATTTTAGATGAACCAGGGCGAGCACCGTCTTTGCATCTATCCGGTACAGCCAAATCTGAGCGTACTCTAACCATGGCGTGCTCACAACGTGAAATCGCATGCTTTTTTAAGAATACAATTCTCGAGTCTGGAATGGCGAACCTCCATATCAAATATCGAAGGTCCCTTGGAAGCCGTGAGAAGGACGCAGGTGAATGGTCGGTGTCGATGCTATGCGCCATACTGTAGTAATTCTTCGGTTTCGATTGTGTGCTGGATTATTGAATTTAATCTCTGATACTGAAGAATCTTAGGCATTTAACCTTAATTATATATCAGTTTGCCGGATCTAAGTCGATCGAGAAGAGTGAAACGATTTTCTATCATGCTACTTGTGTATATTACAAGTTGGAAGGAGCATCGCACATAACAATGTTACGTACACTAAACCCTTGTCGGCAGCCACCTTCCTTCTGATGTCTTGTTCGAACCACAATGTTCTTACCTTTCAAGATTCATTTGTTATCGCCATACATCTGTGGAGAATGAACTTGTCCATCCAAGTCCTTCTCAATGCACCGATCCAGACTTTACTATCAGATTATACTTCACAGTTTGGGGCTTAGATTTTGGAGTGCCATCAAGCATTATCGACTGAGAAGATACAAAGATCGAGAAATGTCGATATTACGGGATCTTAGTGGAACTTATGTATGTGTTTCTTCATCTATCTATATACTACCTAGTATTTTAAAAAGCCTTTCGATTTCTCTGTTATTTGTTTCTTTTGGCACATGATAAGATACATGGGCGCTTCTGCAGTGTAACGAGCTTGCCATGGGCTGACAATGGTGTTTCATTACAAGATTGTAACCTCAGCTTGACCTCACCTCAAGAGAATCTCCGAGTAAAAGAGCTTCAATCCTCCCATGCCAGCGATTTATCTCGAGTCATCTCCTATACTTAACTTCCACTCACTACTAATCGCCATTTACAATGACAATGGCTGAGACGTTCACAACGATGATGGCAGCTATCGCATGCCAAGTTCTTCTTTCCCCCATTCCC